TGAAGTGTTGTTGGGCAAAAGTACCAATAGTTCTTTATAGTATTGTGAAATTTATCATTTTTAATACATATCGTATCCAGATTTTCATCATAAACCCACACTGTTAACATATGATCTAAATGAATCCATTTACATATATCGTATCCATTTACATATATGATCTAAATGAATCCATTTACATATATGCTAATGTGAATTTTCGCGACCGTTACAACAGTATCAGGTTTAAACTGAAGAGCCTTATAATCTATGATAAATCGGACCCTGAATTTCGAAACTAATCATCTTATCGAATGACTAAACAAGGGCTATGGCTGACATCTCATCAACAGGTCACAATATAGACTGTTCATTTATGATCTAACTAGAGCACGTGTCACGTCAACGACACACCAGACAGCGGCCACGGCCAAAACCGTAGAATAATATCACCGACAGACAGACCCCCGTGTACTCGTTATGGAAATACACATTGAAATCTGGATGGTGAGGTTTTTACCTGGACCGCCCAGGCTGTCAACCGCGCGCCGATGGCTTCCTCCAGGCCCGCGTCCTCTCCACCCTGGCGGGACGACGCATCTCCATCACCGCTGCACTGCGGTGGGTCACCACACCAATCACCATCTTCGAACTTTGTCTTCCACTCCGCACACATCCCAAGAACTCCCTCCCTCCTCGTCCCTCTCCTCTACCTACAGTATCCTTCTCGCTCCTCCCAGTGAACCCCGTCCTCCGTCCGCCAACAGCTTCTTCAGCTCCCTGCAACCATCGACCAATCAACTCGATTTATCAATTCTTTACTTCCGTATTGCGGCTCGTCGTAGATGCTTCCTTACCGATGTGACGTGCGACGCTGAGATAGATCTCGTAGCCAGAACGGAGTCTATTTTGACCTTTTCACGCGAACAGTGGGGATCGTGAAGGCGGCGGAGGCCACACAGACTCGAAATCTGGACTCCGTTTCTGGACCAGCCCGCGCCGGGCTCATCTCCCACTCCCTCCGCCTTTCTTCGCGCGCCTCATCCTTTATTGGAGAATGCGGACGTCGTCGTCTCCATTTCTGCGCGAATCATCTTGAAATAATCTAAAAAACAGTAATGAATCGAAATTTGGGGGGGGTGGAAACTGTAGTAAGACTGGCTGTTTGAAAGAAGGATGAGAAGAGGGAGCAAGCAACAAAGGCGCTGGAGAGCGCCAATATTATATTATAACTTGAAATCTGAGAGAGTGGGTTTTGTGAGCCTTCTGAATTTGGAAAATGAATTGACAAAAATAAAAAGATTGTACTAGGAGACCAAATGTAACATTAAGTAAAATGAAAAGAAGAGAAAGCCCCCCCCCCCCCCTTTTTTTGTTATACCAACTCAGAGGTAACCGCTCCGAGCGACAGCGTTCTATTAAACAAGAGGACGCGGCTTCTGCGCCCGAAGAGAGACCCGCGAAGCCTGACCCTGCTTGGCGCTTTATAGTTTACCACCCTCTGTAGATATTTATTTTCCCGTATTTTTATATATTTTACTACTACTGCCATGCTACTGCAAATTTTAAATTTGCCTTATTTCAAGTTCTTTGGGAATTAAGATTAATGAGAAAAAGGGTTGAAAACTGGGAGCAGAATCATTTGTGTTGTGTCTTGATCTTTTATAACTACACGTTATCGTCCATGAACATGCTTTCTATATTCTATAATCGGCATATTATACCATTTCATAAGCAAACAAACCGTAACATACGAGGTCTTTCTTATGAGGATATATATTTATTTAATATTACCCAAGGTAGTGACGATGTCAAAATGGTAACCATCTTAACTTAAGTCAGTTTATGCGTTTTCCTCTCTCTCTCTCTCTTTTTGATAAAAAGCTTCTTTTTCTTAATAGGAAAAACTATTTAGTAACGCAGATGAGGTAACTCTTCCAAATGTATAAATGACACAATCAATTTGCAATATCATAATCAAACGAGTAAGTGGCCATTTTCAGATTGTATGACAATTGCGTGATGCGTTGTGATAAAGTTCCAAAATTATCTATAAGAGCCGTGAGCGGAGGAGGATAATGTAAATATACGCAAAGAGGAAGATGCCATGAGCAATATGTTCATCGTACTAAGTCTGTACGTGTAGAACCTCCTCTTATTCTAATCTATTTAATTTTACCCTCCCACGTGTCATAGACTTCTCGTGGGATTCACTCTCCGAACCACCCACGGGCCCCCAGCAAAAACACTCCGGCTTTACGCCTGTTCCCTTTGCTCTTTCTCCGTCTCCCTTCTTTACAATCTTTTCTCTTTTACCTGGCACAGCAAAAATAGGTAAGAACCCTTTCTGGGGCTGAAAACCGTAAATACACCACCCAGCGGCGGTCACGGATACATCCGTCATTTTTGACAAAGGACCAGCTGGCTGGGCAGTAAAGGTAACAACAGCGACGCGCCTACGTAGTGCAAGGCGCCGTCTCACTGGTACCGGCCCCACACCCACCCGACACCTCCATACTGCCAAAATACTCCCAGCGAAAATGTCGTAAGCTACATCGACCTTTTGTTCACGCCCCGAACCGGCCGTTCTAACGTCAGGCAATTGCCTTGGCTTTTATGGCCTCCAAAGGTTTGATGCTTGGTACTCAA